TTCCTAAACTCAACATGCGAATTCAAACAATGCCGCATTTTAATCATTTCCTGAACTAAAATGGACAAACATTTTTCCGCACTCAATGAACAAGGAAACAAAGCGAAGAATAAAAGGCGCTAAAAACAATAAAACGTAATTCGAAGGAAGGAACGAAGCTGAGATCTGAGAGAGAAAGTTACGTCTCGGAATTGAAGGAGACCGAGTTCGCCCAAATAGGTGATGGCTCGATGAGCGGACTCGGCGGGAATGATGAGTTGAACGAAGGTCATCTTCTCGGACCGCATCAGATCCATTGGAGGCAAATTTTCTATGAACTGATCCATTTTCCCGGGAAACAAACAGGGAATGGATCTTGGTTTGTAGATCTGAAAATACCGTTTCCGGTGTGAGTTTGAAGGGTGCGTTTTGGTTTGTTAAACTTGCGCACTCAACTTCAGTTTCCCCTTCGCAACTGCCATTGCAATAGAATTAGAAAATTCACATTATTCCCGCAGAATCAGATACTGCTAAAATTAAAACCACGCTGTTGTTGCTCCCAGTAAAATTCGCCTGCTCACTGCCAATGTCTTTCTAATTGAACCTTTTTATATCCTCGTCACACTTTTTCATCTATAAAAAAACAACTAAACTCTTTTAATTGAAAAATAAATGTTCTATTACATGTTTTCTTTTAACTAATTTCTTTTTCTTTTCTTTTCTTTTTATGTCTCTTACATGTTCTCCAGCCTTTGACGTAATGTGTTAAATGAAACAGCAATGATACACAGCACCAAAAATACCGGTAAAAAATGACGAAGTACATTCCTTTTTATAATTTGTCAAACAGTAAGTTATAATTGAAAATAAAATTCGATTTTTGACGGAAAATATGGATGAATAGCAATATATTATTTTTTACAATTTTTGTGTAAATAAATTTCCTATCATTTAGCATTTTTCTAAATGAAAATGGAAAATCTGAAGACCTTTATGTTGGCCAAGATCAACAAATAGAATAGGCGTATCAATCTTGCATTATTGATTCATGTAAATTAATAATTATATATCGTAACACACTGAATTTATCATACTAAGTACTGTATGATTTCATTGCAGATGAACTAAATTCTTATAATTTCTAAGTTGCGTCCCTTTATAAAATACCATGTTATAAAATCCACTTTTATAATTTTTTTTATGCTTGATATATTTTTTTGAAAATATAGACATTATCAATGTTTAGTCATTTTTACTGTCTCGTGAAATTGTGATATCAAATAAAAAATACACCATAACAACCATTATCTTTTAATGATAAATAATAACACATTTAAAATTTAATAAAATTGTATTTTTTAGTAAAATAAATTACTTTTACATTCCACAAATTGCTAACTAATATATCAGTATATATAATATATAATTTTAATTTATTAAAAAATAAAAATTTTAATAACGGTGTATTTATAAAAAAAATACAGTCATGTTTTTGAAAACAAACATTTGGTTATTTATATGATCAGATTATCTTTAATTTTAAAGGGAAAGAATATATTTATTCTAAGAATATAAAACGTCGTTTAATTTTTTTAAAGATTTTTTATAAATTTTTTCTTTAAGTTATTTAACTGAAAGAAGTTCTTTAGAAAAAAGCTATTTAACTAAGAAACATGATAAATAAATAAATATATATATAATGATATTCTTACATCAATATAATTTTAAAAACTCTTACACTTAATGTTAACCTTTCATTTAACTTATATCTAACAGTCAGTAAAATAATAAATTATAACTTGTTATATATAAGTTAAATGAAATATTTAGATTTAGTGTAAGAATTTTTAAACTTACATCAGTATAAAAAGATTTTGCCCATATATATATATATATATATATATATATATATATATATATATATATATATATATATATATAATAATTCATATGCATAAATAGTACTTACAAAAACTTTGACGCAAGGTCCAAACAACTACTTCATCAATGACTATTGAGTATTGTATTAAAATATTTATCAGAACATGATATTTCCTATACATGACACATTATTTTAATAACTTTCAAATAAAAAAATATTTACATATTATAATTGATCAGTGAGTACTTCGTGTAGTTGAAATTATGTATTTATTGCACTCCCTCAAACATTTTTTTTAAAAGATTAGTATTTAACTTATTTTGAGTTAAACTTTTTTTTTTCTATTTAGATGGGCTCAGTCCAAAAACAAATACAATTAATTAACTAGTTTAGAGTTACAAACACTTAAATAATACATGTTAAGAAAGAAAATCAAAGAAAAATGACCCCTATCTAAATAAAAAATATTTAAGGCATCTTTAGGGCCTAATTTGGCCAACATGTTAGCACTCATCTTCCCTTAAAATATGTCTAATTCTAATGAAAGGAATACATTTCAAAAAATTATTAATAACAACAATCAAACTGGAATAAGAATAGTTATAACTTTGAATGTTCAATACTAGCTGTAAAGCATTCTTAGAGTCAATTTTAATCTAAATAATCTGAATATTCTTTTAAATTACCAGATACCATAAAATAGGCCTCATAATTCAGCTTCTAAAAGAGAACAATACATAAAGCCTAGATAGAAACCAATAGAAAAATTTCTAGTACTGTCTCTAATTAAACCACCACAGCTAGCACTTTTTATAGTAGGAGATATTGCTCCATCAACATTAAGTTTCATGTGACCTTGAGAAGGAGGATACCATCTATTTTGAACATAATTATCCTGCATCTTCTTCATGATTTTTGCCTTACTCTTATCAAATCATATACTCCAATTCATAGCAAATTTTATGGTATAAGGAACTAAGGGTAGTTGCTGAATTTTAAAAAATAGCACAATTCCTTTATTTCCAAATATACCATATTACCAAACCATATAACCTGTTCCAACTAAAAAGATTATTCACCTAAAAATTAGATAAGTTACTAAGAAACCAATAAGATAAATTCATGCTAAAAACTCAATTAGAAAATAATATGAAAAAATCTCAAAACTGTTTGATATACCAATAATTTTTAAGGACATGAATTATAGACTTTGTCCTATAACCATATTTAGGACAAAGCGAGGAGGTAGACACGTGTCTTGTAAATCTCTCCTCGTTAGTTAATAATCTGTCATTAGTCACTTTCTAGAAAAAGTTAATAACAATTACTTACAATATACTTAACAAAAAATAAATAATTATACCATCATTTACCATGATTAGATTGAGAGAGCAATCAATTTTATTAGCCGTTGTATTGTAGTGAAAATGTTGGTGTTTTTTTAAAATTAAAAAGAGAAAAGGGTTATTTAAAAAAAAATTATAATGTATATTCGTTGAAAAAAAAAAAACACATCAAAGAGCATACAAAATTAAGGTGAATTTTAATATTGACAAAGTTTAAAATAAAAAAAAAGAATTTAATAACAACAAATTATTACAAATTTACACAATAATTTTTTTTAATTTGGTTTAATTTTTTAAGTGGACTAATTAACAAAATTTAAATTTTATTTAAAAGCTTTAAATCAATAAACTGAAACTAAAAATAAACATATTAAAAAGATATTAGACATATGCATTTAAAAAAATAGACTATACATAAATATATTTTATTACAGATAAAATCATGATTTGAGATTAATTTTATTAAAATATACAATTTATTAAATTTTGTTATTATTTGATTTTTTTAATGATAATTTTATTATATTATGATTTATTTTATATTATTCTATATCTTTTATTATTATAATTTAGTTTAGATTACTTTTTTACCGTAATTCTTATAAATGGAATATTATGTAACTCAAAAAGAAACAAATTAGAAATTAAATAGAATTAATTTTCAGTTAAATTATAATTAGAGATGTTAATTTAGACCAAATTCAACGGGCAAGCATAATCTACTTAAAATGGTGGGTCGAGGCAAAAGTTTTGTACTTAATATAAAAATATTATTAAATATTTTTTATTTGTTTGTGTTTGCAAGTTAACTCATTAATCCACTTGTCGTCAACCTATTTTTTTTTATTTTTACGAGCTATTGGTGAGTTGAGATGGACTAACCTGCTTTTACACTTGTGAGAATTTTTCTTTTATTTTTGAACTAATATGATCTTGTTATTATTATTATTATTATATAATTAGGCAAAAAAAAATCACAAAATGAATTTTAAAAAATCAAATGAATGGAAACAATTCAAGAGAAAAAACTTAGTTAAAATGTTATAGTTTATAATGATAACATTATTATATATTTTAGTTTTAAAAAATAGTCATGGTCATTTATCAATATTAAATTTAAGTCCTTTTTTAAATAATATTTTTTTATTTCTATATAGAATAAATTTACACTTTATTTTGACCTTGCGTGAAATAGTCTATATATTTTGATGGTACACTTAATCATATTTTGTTGATTTAGTTACAGTAAAAAAATTACTCTACCATAACTGTAACGTAAACATGTGACAAGGATTAATTTGTTAAAAAATTTATGTAGAAATTAGAATATATTTTTTTATGCAAGAACTAAACAAAAAAATAGTGTTAAGAAACTAAATTTTTAATTAACAACTAAATAAAAAAATAAGAAAAATATATTTTAATAAATAAACGAGTATCAGAAGATTTTATCAATAAATTTTTATTTATTAAAATTATAAACTCTAATAACCTTTTTAAAACTTTTATTATTTTGCAAATTCACTCACTACAACCAATATTGTGTAAACGCTAAATTTTATCGATTTTATTAACTTTAACTTTTAAAATTAATTTAAATATTTAAAAATAATAAATTTTATTAAAAACATTTATTGAATTTTTTATCTTCAAGATAATAAATAATTTTTATCAATAAAAATTTATTATTTTAGTTGCTTTTCCTGGTCACTTAACATTTTTCAAATTTTATATCATTCCTTCTCTAATTTTCGAGGAATATAAAAGCATCGTATCAGTGTTAAGCACTTGGGCTTTAAATCTTGAATTGCAACTTTCTCTGAATCCGTAGTATCAATTGTTCGACTTCACTCACTAAATCACCGTAAGTCATTCTCTTCTATACATATCATCCGTTCTTTCACTCTCTTTATCTTGATTTTCTTTCCCTATTTATTACAATGTTCCAACATCACTACGAAATTAGGTTTGAGTACAAGAAGATTTTCTCTCATTCGTTTAAGTTGGAGATTAATCATTTACCCGAAAATTTATTTTTCTGTCTAACATTTTCTGATGAAATTAAATTAAGATAGGTTTTAATAAGTAGGAAACGAGATTACTCATTTTTTGGACTCAATCAATCAAAACGTTGATGATTTATGTTATGGATTTGTTCTTGGATATTTTGCTATTGGGTGCAGTTGCAGATATAAGGTTATTAGTAAATAGTAATACCATTAGAAACGGAGATCTCTTAAGAGAGCATTTCTGGATTTTGAACTGAAAAGCTTGACAACAAATATATTCATTCTAAATAATGTATTCATATTTATGCACAGTAAGTAAATGGGGATGTTCAGAAACTCCAACTGATAGCTGAGTTTTTTAACAGTTTGTTTATTCCTTTTTCTCATAATTTCCCTACAATGCGAGGGGTTTACCTCGAAGAAACACTTGACAGGGTATTATATGCTGTGTTACCTTAACCAGAGCAATAGCAAAGTACTGGCTCTGTGATAAGGGTGACAATTCAGTCTATTTATTCACTTAACCATTTCAATTTATTCATGCATAAATTTAATAAACTTATCTAATTATAAAAAAAAAATGAGTGTGATGATTGGATTACCATTTATTATTGGATAGACAATGAACCATCCATAATATTTTATAATTCATAAGGTTTAATGGTCCACATTCCACAGTCTATTAATTTGGCATTAAAGGATGCTCCTAGGCGCTATAGTGTTGAATGTATATTAATACTAAAGTTTATTTTATTCAAAAAATGATATATTTTAAATGGATGAGTTCGATATTCATTCATAAAAAATGGTTAATGGATTGGATGGATTTTTCTTTTAAATAATTGGAAGGGCTTAATGATCAAGGGAAGTGGATGTATTGAATTTTTTTAACACATTTATAATGGATCAAAATGGATTAGTGATTTATTTTTTTATCCATCCATTATGATTCAGTTTAAAATTTATCAATCTATTTATTTGAACATACACTGTGAGTGTGCATGCCTTTTTTCACCTTTCACATGAGAAGGTGATAATCTAAGTATCCTATTCTGTTTTCATCAGGCTAGCCTTATATACTGGATGGGGAAATCACAAGCAGATGAGAAGATTCTCAGCTACAACGATGTGGTGCTTAGAAGATCGGATTTAGACATCCTTAGTGGTCCATATTATTTGAACGATCGAATTATTGAGTTTTATTTCAGCTATCTTTCTTCATGCCATCCCTCTCAGGATATCCTGCTGGTTCCACCATCCATTGCATTTTGGATAATAAAATGTCCTGTCACTGAGACTCTCAGAGATTTCTTAGAGCCCCTTCATTTGTCCGATAAGACGCTAGTTATATTTCCCATCAATGACAATGATGATGTTGACAAAGCTGAAGGTGGCTCTCATTGGAGCTTACTTGCATATTACCGCAACGCTAATCTGTTTGTCCACCATGACAGTTGTAGAAGCATGAATACAGCACCTGCTAAGCAACTCTATAGAGCTGTTGTTGGACACATGGGAGTCTCTGGATCAGCTTCTGAGGCCATCTTTCTGGAATGCACTGATTCACCCATACAAGAGAACGGTTATGACTGCGGCTTATATGTTACTGCCATAGCAAGAAGAATATGCAACTGGCACGTGAATCATAAAAATACTGATCCAAATGATCTGTGGTTCTCTGCTGTGAAGGAACAGGTTACTCCATCTGCTGTTGCCAGCATGCGAAGCGAGATTCTGGCCTTGATCAAAGATCTTATGGCAAGGCATTGAGATTGCCATGGTTTATTCAATAAGAACCAAATGATCTGTGGTTCTCTGCTGTGAAGGAACAGGTTACTCCATCTGCTGTTGCCAGCATGCGAAGCGAGATTCTGGCCTTGATCAAAGATCTTATGGCAAGGCATTGAGATTGCCATGGTTTATTCAATAAGAACGGAGTTCTTGCTTGAAGTCTTGAATTTAAGTTTGAGCTTCTTCTATAACTCGATGAGAAGACTTCTGTTTTAGTGTCAAGTCTATTTGAAACCTTTGTCTGCCTAGTCAGGGCTGAAGCAAATTTGATCGTTTGGTATTTGGATGGTAGTTGTGCAGTAAATACAAAGATGGAAACACATCTTGGGAAGTTGTCTGAAACACTGTATAAATTGTCATTGCCATTACACCTTCAACGTAGTTGCAGGCTTTCTCGCTGTTAAAAAGTAATTGAAGAATCTGTGTGCATTTACATGTCTCTATTATGTGAGACAAATATTTCTTTATCTGCTGTCCACTGTCTTATGCATGCTAGATTGCTTTTCATTGGTTTTTCTTTGACAAAATCCATTTTTCAATGTTAACTTCAACTAGAAATATAATTACAACAACTAAGTTTCATTCTAACAGGTAAAGTCGACTACTCTGGATTATAAGACGTCATTAAATTCGTTCAAAAGTCTTAAATTGAACTAGAAATGTTTACACTAAATTTGAAAGCGATGCATGATGTTCTGCTTATATTCGCCCAACTATAATCCCTTGAATCCGAGGTTCATTGAATATCCGGTCTCTATGGCTGTCATGTGTGTCATCAACCTTGCCAGATTATTGCGCATGGATATACACCGATTCAAATAGTCCATTACACCCACTTGAAAAATAGTCAATGGTAGAGGATTTAGAGGCTTCCATCTTTTAGGTACAAATATGTTTCATTTTGTTTTAAAGGACAATCTGAATACTGTGTCCCCATCACACTTGTGCGTGGACATTTAGAAATATCAGCGAGAGGATTGGTACTTCGGTAGCGAAGACAATTGAGAATAAAAATTTGAATCAACATTTAGATTCAGTGTGTTAAATACTAGCTGTAAGAACAGATATTAAGGGCGGCGGAAACCCATCAAAATTTTAAGAAGCTTGTACATCAGACTATATTTTCTGTTCATATATATTGAAGCAATGCAAACTCTCTCTATCCATTAACATGATTTGACAACTGGAACAACTTAGCTGCACACAACATTAACTACACTGGGAGTCCTGCATCAACAACAGCATACAACAAAAGCATCAGAAAAATAAAATAAGAACTCCAAAAATAAAAGGCTAGCATATAAGCTATGCATTACACTTCACCCTGATACATGCTAACCTATGTAAATGTCGAGATTACAGTCCCAACAAGAATAATAATTTGTCCCCCTTTTATGCTATTTAGTCCAATAGCAACATCAAGTCACTTCGTCAATTTTAGCAATGCACACCAACATCTATCAGGGAAGCAAAGCTGTTATTATTTACATTGGATATCTTTTTTTTTTTCTTTACTTACTTTTTCTGGGAAGGGGAGAGGGGGAAGGTGCACGGCGTTCATATTGAACCAAGAGAACAGAGAATAATGGAATACGTGAGATAACAAGGACACCTGGGACAAGGAATGCAGACACTGAATCATTTCTAAATGGTCACCAGTCTGAGAGGATCAATGAAGTTCGTTAATGACACTTCAAACAGAGGAGGATTAGCTCTTCTCACCAAATTTAGATGACAAAAAATACTTGAATCAAACATATGCTGCCTATCTCATATTCATTAGACCAATGACTGATAAAGCTCTGTGCAGTTTACAATAACAATCAAGATATAGTTAAAATGTTTTAAAATTGGAGGTGATTCACATTCGGTACACCTGCTAAAATAATCCCCAGAATAATTATTCACATAAATGGCACTCGCCTCTTTCAGAGATTGTTTACGCCATGCTAGTGTCCACAGGATAGCTCCCAAGCACTCGCAAGAATGTAGCAAACTCCTGTAAAGTGTATTGGTTTTAGAGTGTCTACTTGCAGATAATCTTTTCAATATCCTTCATAAGATTAAATTAAAACACACCTTTAGATGCCTTAGGGCATTTTGTGCACTCTGATCAGCCATTGACGCTTCAAAATCAACATAGAAAAGATAATCAAAGTACCTTTATATAATATGAACTATGATCAGCACAACAATCATTGACAATCTAACCTTATTGTAGATGCAATAATAATAATTTTAACTAACTAAATTTATACAATGAATATATTAGAGTCAAAAAAAGAAAAGTAGCCATGATGTTCTGTAATTATACTTGGAACACCCATTGTTGCTATCATCTGATGCTCGTAGTGGTTGATTCCGCAAAGGACGACTCTCAATCTATTGGAAATACAAATCAATTGTACAATCAGGAATGCCTAAGCAGTATGCTTGCAATGCAACTTCCACAACTGATATAACAGATGATGCCAAGAAGACAACGAACCTTTGTAAGGTTGATATGACGCAAAGCAAAAACAGCAAGGGCCTTGAAGAGTATCCCAGGACCCTCTTCTAAAGAAAATACTATGCTTGTCTGAGAATTCAACACCACAAACGGCAATATTTAATAGTGGTAGGCATAAAAAGAACCAAATAAGGAGTGGGGAGACGTGATGTATTCTATCCAGTAAATTCCAGCTATTTATTCCAGATGAGTACCTTAAATGGTCTATCTGTGCCTGGAATTATAGGTTCTCGTGCTAACATTAAAAATCTAGTAACATTATCGCTATCATCCTGCAAATGCAAATCAATTAGTGATCAAATCTACCATGAACCTGAACTGTCAACCATGTCAGTTAAAACAATGATGCCATGGACCCAGACCTGAATATCTTCAGCAAGTATATTCAAGCCATAGATCGTTGCAGCAGCAGAACTAGCAACTGCTCCTGCATCTAGTAGTTGGTGGAAGGCAACATGCTGTTATTTGCAGCTATGTTAGAATAAGTGATAATGAAAAACAAGTCAACAGTAGCAGGAAAAATTGAATTTCAATCCTTTTTTATCCCAGGGTGCAATATCTGATCATGTCTTCAGGAGATGATAGGAGTATGCTAATTTTTCAAGCAGATCAGAATTTGACCAAGGATGACCAACTTGGGTAAAGTGTAAACTAAAAATGCTCTGAAATTATACCAGATAAATAGTTTCCAATAACTCTACACTTACCTTTGCAGCACCGGCTGTATCATCAACTGCTTCTCTGACCAATCCCAACCTCGTCAGTGTGTTTTCACATTGTGCAAGAGCCTAAAAACATTGAGTCTTGGATGAGTTTGTGATTGGGAAAAAGTAAGGTATAAAAGTTTAGAATCACACCTGTGGATGACTAAGAACCCGCTTCAAATCCTCAAGTTTAACACCGTGGTTAGACATCAAGCAATGATGGACTGCATATTTTACTTCTCCTACTATATGTAAGCTGTGCCGGAGTAAAAGGTCATAATTTCTGTGGATGCTCCCTCCTAAAGAATTCTCAATTGGCAAAACTGCTCTGTCCACAAGCCACCTTTCAACTGCCTGGAGTGGGGAAACAGAGAACGAGATAAACAAAGAGATTGGAGACGTCTACTTCATGAGGCAACCACCATAAGAAAACAACAACCAGAAAGTAAGATCTACTACACGTGATTTTAAATTTTAACTGGTTAGAGCCAAAATTCAAAACTGTCAAGAGTTAAATTTGTCAACACATGAACCAATACAACATAAACTAATCAAGCTTACAAGAGGTCATGCAACTTATCCTCACGAAACGCTAAAACTGACATCAAATTAACAAGATAGCACATAAAGAAAACCGCTGCAGGTCTAATCTAGAAGTGTAAACAATTTCAATCACCCAAGTAACAATAACAACAAGGGAATTGATAAAGAAACTCGCAAACTGATAGAATATTACTAGCAAAGAGGAAAGAGTAACAAAACTTTACTTCAAAAGCAGTATCAAATTGTTCACAAGGAACAGCTTCACAATTTGGGTATGCCTTCTGTGCAGCTGACTCACTGTAAGCACCACGAACCCCCTGAAAATGCAACATTCAGCTACACCAAACCATGAACAATATATATGACTATGTCCGATTACTCTTTCACAGAATAAATAAATTAAAAAAAAAAAAAAAAAGTCTATACAGTATCCTTGCACGAACATGGGCACAAGCAATCAAATAGCTCAAGTTAATATTAAAATAAATTTTAACACAAGATTTGTCATCTATTTTATTATTATTATTTTAATAATCGTGCTAATATACAAACTACTGTGTGGTGGGTGTGTATAAAAGACTTTGATTCTATTAATGAAAAAAAAAAGAGAGACAAAGAACATGCAATGTGAGTAGCAAGTACCTGATATGCAACACGAAGACGAGAACCATCGGAAACTGAACCAGAGAACTGAGTGGAGGATAAAGGCCCTGAAACGAATCGGAATAATAATGGTTACGAACAAACACGAAGGAGATATAAGAAAATGGGGGAAAACGTAGGTTACGCGGAAGAGCGAGTGGATCTCGTGAAACGACGTCGTCGGGGGTGGTTCGAAGTTCAACGGAGTGGGGTTTGCTGGTGAGATCGTGATTGTGAGCGCGAACGGTGAGGTTACGGTACCGTTTAGGGAGGGGTAAGAGGTTGAGGGAAATGACGGGTTCTGACGGCGGAGATTGACGGAGTGAATGGGGATGAGGATGGGCTATGATTCGCGACGCCGCCATCGGTGAGAGACAGTGTTTGGTTTGGCAGAGTACAGAATCCGTTTAGTTTGTTAACCCAATTACAGAATTTTACTTTTTAGTTTTCTTCCCCACGCACTGCAAGTTTCGCGGGTGCCCCGGTCGGGACCCGCATGCCTTAAAGCCTCATATTTATCGAAATTCATGAATTATATCATTTCCTTTTTCATTTTTTAAGGCACCAAAAATATACACAGTTCATGAATTAGCTCAATAAAAGTTTAAAGAACCACAAATATACACAATTCAATTCAGAAGGAATAGTAACACAAGTAAACTTAAATTTATTTATTTTTTTTATGTCGCAAGTAAACTTATATTAAAAGTTCAAATAAAATTTACTTAATATTTCCAATTTTAAATTCTTAATCAATGTGACTTGGTTCTTTCATTGTAGGATTTAACTATACTTTGATCACTTTAGTTTAATCATGTGTAATTTAAAAATTTTAATTAATTTTTCAAAAATTGTAAAAATAAACTAGTATAGTTTTGTTGTCTATTCTTATTTAAAATTTTAAATATTTTTGTATCCAAATACTTGAGAGTTTGTGCTGGATTTGAAATACGAAATAAGTTTAAGAGTACAAAATGTATCAAACAGATTATAAAAATTTAAATTAGAGTTTGAAGAAAAGAAAACTTGAGTAAAAATAACTTAATAGTGAAATTTTTTTATAACTAATGTGCAAAAAAACACTAATTTAATAAATATATATTTTAAACAATATGATAATTTCTCTTTGCCCACACATGTAAATAGGAAGTATATTAATGGGATGAACTTTTATACAAGACTGAGAGACATAAATTTATATTGTATAAATATTCATATATTATTATAATTATAAAATTTGAAAAACTATTGTACTTTTTAAAAAAATCACGACTTATATATTTTAATTATAAACATTTATAATGAAATTTAATGATCAATTTTTTTTTCACTCTCATGTCAAAACCCTATATCGTGTGAATACATCGGTTATATGTAAATGAATCGAGGGTTCAGTCTTTAATTGTTCTTCTATTGTCTCACATTGCTTTTATTAGACGCGTGACGCCGTTTTAATTCATGCATAAATGATTCAACAATTCGATAAGTTATTATGTTTGATGAAATGCTTGGAATTTTCCAATTCAAATGGTAGACTAGACTATTGATGATGTTGCAGTTTAAATAATTGTTTTGGATGTAAGAGGGAGATGGGACACATTATTTTATGTAAAGTTGAGCTAAACAAACCAATATTTGACTCATTTAAGATTATTTCATCACAATTTAACGTTGAAGGTGATCAACCAAGCTTGATTAACCTCTTTATTAACCAAATAAATAAATTAATTAACACACCTTAACCCAATAATATGATGGATATCTTTTATACATTTCATTAGTATACATTTTATATTTTAAAATAGTTTTGACTTTTGTCAATTGAGTTGGATGTAATATTTTCAATGAATAAATTACATTTTACTGTTTAGTAGCTTGACATCCAACAATACCATCATATTACATATAAAATTATTGATTTGCTATAATTTTACAACGTCATCATAGTTTGACAATTTGACACTAGCACATTATATATTAAAATTTAATATTTAATCGAGGAAAAACTCCATTTCACCTTTGTGTAATTTAAATCATAATACTTAAAAACATACAACACGATATTCTAAACTTTTAAAAGTGTGCAACTTTTTTTAATTATTATTACTCAGTTATTCAATTTTTAAAATTTTTAAATAAAAATATTTTAGAAAAAACTTCTACTACTTCAAAAAGGAAAATATTATGAATTTGAAGTTTTTTTTTATATTTTTTAAAATATAGAGTCTCGAGTTATACACTTTTAAAACTGTGGGAATTTAAATTGTACATCGTTAAACATACATATAAATAAAATGAACTTTTTTATTTAATATATTTACAACTTGATAAAAGAAAATTATAAATGCTGTATATTTATTTTAGAACCTTGATCATGCTTAAACATTAGCGCTTTGTTTGTTTTCCTTGAAATGGGGAGGATACAAAGTGACATAAAGTGAGATTGATGAAAACTAATATAATTTATTTATTTGGATATATTGAAATCAAACAGTGAATTTCTGTAATTTTTCGTAAAGTTCACGTAAAAATGATACTCGGTGGAGATGCATTAAAATGAATATGAAAATTAATCTCAACTTTTATATTTCAGTTTCACTTTTTAAAAGACATTTTTTTCCTCCACGACATGAAATCTTTGCTGATGTATGGATAAAATAGTTGAAACAAAATTTTAATGTATTTATTTTCACTTATATTTTAATTCATCTAAACACATAACTGACATTTTTACATTTCTTTTATTATTATTTCATTTCAACCAAATGCTAATTTATTTGACTAATATCATTCATCTCTGTTTTATGCTTTTATCCAAATAAAGGCTTTTTTATATATAAAAAAATCTTTCTTTTTGGAAACAAGGGATCAAGTTTTTGTTTTTGAGACAATGGATTGCATTGGCCCATAAGCCCAATGACGGCATTGTTCACGAAGCATACCGATGATATAATATTAACTATTAACATGGGCCTGTGGTCACATTGGGCACCCCAAGCCGACGAAATAAAGGACATCATTAAGTTTTGATAATGACCCAAAAGATATATTTCAATAGATCACTTCAACCATATATTAAAAACCAAATATTAGTCAGTAGAAGTCATTTTCTTTTCAGTTTTAATATTTTTTTTTTAAATTTCATCAAATTTAATTTCATATATAGAACCCTCACTTATATGTAAATTTGATTTTAAAAATAACAAGTTAACTTTAAAATAAAATAATTAATTATCACATATTTTAAATTGTAATTTTTCAAATACTTACTCAAAATATGTTTGGACGAAGGATTACAATTTACTTAAGAAAAATGAAACAATAAAAAGACTTAGGACATGTTTAATTACTATTTTAAAAATAATTTTTGATATAAATTTGTACTAAAATTTTTTTTTTAAATTTTTTTTTTCAAAACACTAATCAAGCATGCTCTTAGAGTTTTTTTGTTTTCTACTTTTAAAAGTGAAGTTTTTTGTTAATATATATTTCATTTTATTTTGTTCTTAAAACAAAATGTTTTAAATTATTTTAAAATATAAATTTAAAAATTAAAAACTAAAACAGAAACAAATAAGCCTAAATTTGTTCGTTTTTATTTTGGTACTTTCAAGTTCTTCCAAATTGCAAAATTTCAGGTTGGAGGTGCATATTAAATTACTTACATTATTTCTTAAAAATAAAAAAAATTGTAAATTCATATTATTGATAATAATTTTAATTTATCTATTTCTACAATTTTTTGTTGTTTTTGTTTTATAAATTAGTAACATCTAAATAAAGACAATGGTTAATCTTTATATTTTTAATTTTCTCTTCACCTCTTTCTCTTCTTGGTGATTCCCCAACACAAAGAATAAGAGGCAAAACACTCATGTCAAAACATTACTAATTTTTAATGTTAAAAAGCGATATTAATACTATTATAAATATTTAAAAGACAAAATAAATGTAAATAAACACTCTTTTGTTTTAACTATAAAAAATAAAAGTTAATGCTCGAATACGACTTGACTGCATTGTCCAAAAACAAACACTAGTGCAAGCGTCAAAGAGCATCAGCCCAAATATGTTGATCTTAATTAGAGTATAACATGCAACTATACTTCATGTTTTGAAAAAATTATAGAACAAACAAAGTGGAGCAATCAAAAAAATATGAATCAGATTTTGAAAACGAAGTTGATAAAGATGCGTGTATGTTTTGTACGCATTTCGTTAGACATTCCCTAAACTTTTTCAAAACCCTCTTATAAACTATTACTAAATGGACAACACACGCATGCTTAGCTCACATTATTTGAACTGTAGCACAAACAAACCAATCCATTAAAAACAAAAAATGTTGGACAACACCTTGAACCGACAAATATATGCAAATCCCATTTTTATAAGATTATTATTCAACTATGATTTTTTGGTATTAACAATCCAATTCTACGTTGCCCTTAGAAAACTATTGGTGCATGTAATTGTTGGATTTGCGGCTTTAATCACGACCATGTGAATTGGGAACAATACTTAATGACCAAGAGTTGTCCTTTTTGGCTCATTCCTTAACACTATCTACTTTCGCTTCGCACAAGTTAATTTACAAATATTAGGAATACTTGTTCGATACAAATTTATTTATTAGTTCAAATTTATTACAAACGATAAAAATACAAAAGTTTCACTTTCTTATTTTTAGTTTAATAATTTTTATTATTTTTTAATAAAAATATGTTAAAGAGCATAATCAAATCGCCATGTAGTACTACCAACACTAGAAAAATATCTTATATTAAATATATAAAAGTAATTTTCATTTTCTCATCATTGCAACCGGTTGAAAAAAATAAAAACGTAAAGAATGATATACTTCTTATATTTAAATTCTTTGAAAACAAAACAAATTATAAAACAATCGTGAAATTCACTCCAAACGTTTAAGTTTAGATTGTAAGAAGTACAACAGTGATATTGAAAGATTGGAAATGAAATTCAATTTGAAGTGTGAAACGTAATCTTAAATTGACCGAATGATGGGATTAAAAATGAAAATGAGGAGACTTTAACAAACAGAAGATTGAAATTAACGAGGTGGAGTGCATTGAATGTGTGTGTGTGTGTGTGTGTGGCAGGCGTTACCATTTATCACGTTTTGGAATCGCGGTTGCGTTATTCAGGAGTTAATTGTTTGGAAGGTGGGAAGAAATAGGAGTGAAATAACGGATACTACGATAACAGCGTTGTGTTTGGGTGATATTCCCTATTACAAGGGTAAGAATTCTAATTCATTTCCCTTTCTATAATCTGAATCATTTCATTTCCCACTTCGGGGTTTGGAATCCGACAAACCCATTGCGTTACCAAACACTGCCACTGAACCCTCTCTTCTTCCTCAGCGTGTCATCCATCATT